AGTGGTGTTATTTTCTTTTTGTCTTCTACCCCCGGACGAGGGGGCCCGTTGTGGCGGAGAACAGCCGTTGTTCCTCTCGCTTCGCCGAGGGGGGGGTTTTGTGGGGAAACGGGTTTTTTTCGAGGCCGGGGGGGCCTTTTAATCCTCCCCTTTTTTCCGCCCTTCCCCCCCCCCCCCCCCCCCCCCCCCCTTCCTCCAAAAACAAAACAAAAAAAAGACCCTGATTGCAGGTTAGTTATCTTGCCTATGGATCACCTAACTTTTCTTCGATATTTTATATGCACTTCAAGCCTATTTTTTTCTGAGATATGCCAAGTTAAAACTTCTGGGAAACTTTATGAAATTAAGTCGAGTCAAGTATAGAACTTGACTGAAAACTACAGTTGTCTTGTTTTTTAAAATAGCCTATCAAGATTGTGATGGAAAACTGCAGCAAACCACGTTTTAACTACCTACAAAAGAACCAAGAAGAAGAGGTATCAATATATAAAAATGCTGTGTAATAGGCTCTTTAGCTAATGACGCTAATGGAATAAGTCAGCTGTTAGGTTCTATTTTTATCGTGCGTTAGGGAGCGTGTCTATTAGCTATATAGATACAGTTGCATGGAGATAATTGAAGCAGTAAAAAACTTCCGTCATTGACCGCAGTGATGTAGATAAATATGAGCTAAATAACTTTCTAACTTGCTCAGATTGTACCAAGGTCGACTGAAAAAACTTTTTGGTGAAAACAAAAAAAATAAAATAAAATAGACATCGGGAGATTAACAATCGGACGTGTTCAACACCAGCTTTTCGTCATAAAAAATTATTTTAAAGGGCAAGCCGTTCAAAATTGCAGCTGCTTTGAAATATCTGTTGAGATGCGAATTGTATTTCTTTTATCAATGTTAGTTGACAAAACTAAAGTCGTGAAAATTTAGTGCAAGGATTAATCTAACTCAAATAGCACCTTCAACGAAAATTCGTTCTCTCAAATGCCAGATTTTTTTTAGAAATTCTTATGTGCAAATCTAACTGAATGGTCTCAAATTAAGAAGAAAGGTGTAAGACTCACTTGAATGGTAACCTTTTATTCTTATTTGTAGATATTACCTCGCCTATTTTCTCCAAGGAAAGCTCGCCGAGCACACGACTGGTTGCCATCTGGAAAGCACAATTATGATGGTATGGGCATTAAACTGAAACCTTCGGTTTTACCACATAAATATAGGCTCGTCCTTTTTAAACAAGAGCTTTCATCTCAAAGCATTTTATGCTGGGCAATCTTTCTTGCAATTCTCTCGCAACTGTAATTGTTAACTTTGCGACACAAGTTAGAAGAAAAATAAAAATCAATTCCATATCCTTGAATGCTGCAACGAAAGCGTTGCGAGATATGTTTATATTTGGGGTGCAGAGGAGGGCCGGGCAGGAGGGGGTTGTAACAAGAAGGCTCCCAACAACATGTCTAGCGCAACAAAATTGCAAGACAAGAGTGAGGAGAATTTTGAAGTCTTGTTACCATGGTAGCAAATTTCTGGATCTCAAGAGGAGGCGTGAAACATGTCAGCTTCAAAATCTTGTTTTCATGATATATCTTCTGAGAAAATAAGCAACTTAAGAAAATGAGGGTGAGCGAACTTTGTCGTTGATTGTTTTATTGCAGAAAAATTAGCTGTTCTTAAACAGTTTTGGATTAAAGATGAAGAACGGCAAGCCACTGACAAGGTAAGGAGTGTGTCTTATCAAACTGTAATAATAAATACAATTTGCTGTTGCACTGTTTAAGTGTGGTAGTTAAATTGCAAATAATTTATATGGCGAAGGACAGGCGCAGATTTAGAGAAATCAGAAAAAGAGTACGGGAAGAGTTTAGTGTTGTTACTGATATAGATAATATTAATTATTTCCTATAATTCGGTTTGGAAACAGCGGCTTCAGAAGGTTTTGTCTTCCAAACGGAAATGTCGGGCAAATACTTTGTATTATTATTTTATTTCCTTCTTCATCGCCCTGTCGTCAGGATCAGTTTGTCATTTTATATTTTACACTGCATATTCTTTTATTGTCAAGAGCCATTTTAGTTTAGAGATTGTCTCTCACATTTGTCATCGTTTCAGGTTCTGAGGGAAAGTTTTCATCCCCAAGTTGCACCACGTGTTCGGGAGTGGCTCAACGAGGCCGACGGAGAAGGTATGGGTCCGAAGTAGTCACCATAGAAATGGAGTTTGAGTCGCCACATGTTCCAGGCGTTTAGATAGAGGAGTACGGCGCGAAGTCAGTCGTTGCACCATCCCAACAGTCTGAACCCCTAAAACAGGCTACGTGCTTCCTTGAAAACGGCCCTAAATTTAATTTAATTTAATTTCATTGTTTCCATTTCTCTCAGAGAAAAAAGCTATCATGAAGTTATTTCGGTCCATCGCCAATCAACCCAGTCCAGAGAAAGCAACTACAGTCTTTATAAAGCCGGGAAAGAATGGTCTACTCTCAAAAAACATTTCTTCTAAAGCCAAGAAGTTAACTGATTCTGGAACCATGGAAACGCGTCATACAAAGTGGGGAAAAGTGAGGTGGCAAGAGGAGCACAACAAGGCGCATAAAAATGGGAGGATCATTGGTAGAGCGGAAATGCGAACCGAGTTCGATATCGCGCCTGATTGGCGAGCCCCTAAACGTAGTGTGGTTCCTATGACCCAGATCACTCGTCAATTGGAGGTGCAGGAGCGGTTACCAATGCTTTCTAAGCACACTTGTTTACCGCATAATAGACGGGAGTTTGTGATTCACCCAGAGTGGATTATACGCTAAGCTCCTGAAAACCGCGCCGTCCCTTAGCTGTTCTTGTAGCAGCAGTAACAACAGTAGCAATAGCAATAGAAAGTACTAAGTTTTAGTATCACTTAAAGTGGTAGTAGTAGCATTCATTAGCAGTAGCAGTAGCAGTAGCGGTAGTGGCCGGTAGTGGCCGGTAGTGGTAGTGGTAGTGGTAGTGGTAGTGGTAGTGGTAGTGGTAGTGGTAGTGGTAGTGGTAGTGGTAGTGGTAGTGGTAGTGGTAGTGGTAGTGGTAGTGGTAGTGGTAGTGGTAGTGGTAGTGGTAGTGGTAGTGGTAGTAGTAGTAGTAGTAGTCTAGTAGAAGTAGTTGTGTAGTAGCAGCAGCAGTAGCAGTAGCAGATACAGAAGCAGTAGTAGTGGTAGCAGTAGCAATAACAGCGACAGTGACATTAGCAGCAGCATTAGCCGCAACAGCAGCAGCAATAGTAGTACTAGTAGTGACAGTGACATTGGCATAGTAGCAGTAGCAGTAGTAGTTGTAGACTTAAAAATTCACTAAAATCAATGCTGCTTTTGTAGACGCATAGTCCTATGTATTTTACTACTACTCCTGAGATGAACTGGAACGTAACTGGAGAAACCCTAAGAATATTATGTGCATGGAAAACATAGCGAAAAATGTTTTGTAAGAAGTAAAACGTAGAAACACAACTCCCTTAAATAGATTTTATTGATTCGTCCACGAATTTGATACTCGAATTGGCAATGGCGCGCTTAATTAGCCCTCCTCACTATAAGGAAGTTATTTTTTTCTCTCTTCCAGAAGAATAGCATTCTTCAATATGAACGGAGCTTAGTTTTATAGTTGCAGTGTATTTTAATACACGTAAGACGCTGATACACGGTTTAGTTTTTGCGCGCACAGGTACAACGCGCGAGTTGAAGTCACGCCCCCTCGCAAAAGGCGATATTCCGCGTATACCTCCTTTCAGTTTGTAAAACAATTTGCATTGTAAGCCAAGACAAACTAGCTGGCTTTAACCAGGTAGGTAACGCCGCCACTCCCACATAAGGGAAACATATGTCGAGTTTTGTGCGAATTTCTTTTGTCGCAGTTACAAACTCTGAGGCCCCAGTGATGTTACACGGGACGATTCGCAACGACGAGTTTTTGCGCAATACAGCGTAGCAATGTCGGGACAATGTTGCAACCATTCGAAAAAATGTCGCAACATTGTTGAAATGATGTGTTGTGTTAAAAATCGTTGCAAATCGTCTCGTGTAACAACACCTTAAGAGTGATCAGCGTCCAATTTCTTCTTATAATATCAATACTTTATAAAACAAAGTAGGAGAATTAAGGACATGATCACAGACGATGAATCTGATACTTCAACATATTCCCTCCACTGCTTCCACAGAAAACGCAGTAGGGACAACAAAAGACGGAGCCACTCGCCGGTGCCGTGGATCTTTGCCACGCCCCAAGTGGTATAGTCGGAGTCACAAATGTGTAGAATTTTTCGCTCTCGTGGATTACCGAGGGCGAGGGACGTGAGCCCTCCGTAGTTCACGAGCTTACAAAAAACTCTTCACATTTTGACTGCAACTACATTACTAGAGAGAATTGGAATTTGTTACTGAACAAATCAAGTCGGAATTGAAAAAAACAGGGTGGTGGAAATCAGTAGACTAAGACAGCTACAATACATGTAGGCATTCCTCAATTACTATACTATCATTCAATACTTTTTCAACCTCCATTGGCACAAATCGAAATTAAAAGGGAAAAAAAATATTTGAATTGCATTTTCTTAAACCATTTTCAGCCAATTTTAGTATGGCGATTTCTCTCACTCCTAAGTTTTCACTGGTTTTGGAAACTCGGGAGTGAAAGAAATCGTTAAAATCGGATCGGGAAAATCAACACACAGGAAGCAAGGAGTGCTTACCGAAACCACCCGCCCGGGTGGAAGTCCTGTGTATAACATGTTAACATAGAACTGTAACAAAGCATTTATCGACTATATCCAAAGTAGCTAAACAGACTAAAAAGGGGTGGAAAAATTCCACAACGCAAACGGTTTTTAGGGGAGCTCGTACTTCGTTCCTCCCAAATGGGGGGAATCATTTGATTTTCAACCGGAATTCCGGTCTCACACCGAGCTTGGGTAAGCTTCGGTTACCTGCAACTCGCCCCACCCAAAGCCCTGGGGACGAGGTTAGGGTGAGGGTTACTGGGAGACTTGAAGACCTTCGGACGCAAACTCGCCTTAACTCGCACAAACTCGCAACTGCCTTGATTTCTAAGGCTACGAAGGTAAGGTAAGGAATCAATGACTTACACTCACATTGGTTTCTTTTGACACTGTATTTCCGAAACGCTGCCCACGGTTCAGTTTTTAGTAAGATTATTGCTTAGTATAAAACAAGCTGACTAAGCATATCCACCATAAACGACGAAACACGGCAGAAGAAATCAATTTAATCAAGATAAAAAAGGACCAGTTATTATTGTTATGTCATTTTACGTACCTTACTCTGTACAGATACACAGAGAAGGTGAGAAATCAGTGATTAATCAATTCATGGATTGAACTCATTGCTCAATATCAAACACTTCAAACAGGCGCGTGCTCACGTAGGCATCATATCGCTGACACGATAGTATAGGCAGTGGGACTGCTTGTGTAAATAACATCAACGATCAGTTTTTATCCCAAGGTCCTTCTGTTTATCTAAATCGTCTAATTACCCTTGGGCAGAGTGTTCTCTGCAACAACGCTAAATATTTGAAGTTTTATTGTCGGAAAGTTGAGAAATGGCAAACTTCGGCGATTATCTGGAAGATTTCATACTCTAAACTGGAAACTGCGAGATACGGTCCAAAATTTGGAGTCTCCAGGATATTATCCGGGAGAGTTGACATGGCTGTCATCTCCCCATGTCATGAAAAATTGAGAATTGTTAGGTAAGAAGTGATAAATGACATAATGATGTCATTTACGCCAAAAATGCTCGTTGATTCCGGTCGATGTGTATAGCACTTAAACAGCTCATATTCAGCCACATTATTTCTTAAATTACAGTGGCATGCCAGAATTTATGAGAAAAAAAATGCAAAATATTTGAAATTTTATGGTCGGAAAGTCAAGTCTATAAGAAATAGCACTTTTGGCAATTATCCAGGAGATATCAGACTCTAATCTGGAGACCAGGAGATATGGTCCAAAATCTGGAGTCTCCCAGATTTTCCTGGAGAGTTGACAGCACCAAGTTGACCGCACTGTACATGTATTTGCCTACCCTCCCCAAAGGAAATACAGTAAAAATCCAAAAATAAGCCCCGGGGCTTATATTTTTCAAAGGCCCTTTTTGAGGGGCTTATTTTTGGAGGGGCTTATCTATGGAGGAAAATTTGCGTTTCAAAATCGATTGGGCTAGCCTTATAGTTGGAAGGAAATTGACCCTTTTTGCTTTATTTTAGTTTGTATTTGGGGGCAATTTCCAAGTACAAGCCCCGAGGGGGCTTATATTCGGAGGGGCGATTCAACGGAGGGTTTTTTGCATTACGAGTTTGGGGGGCTTATATTTGGAGGGGCTTATTTTCGGAATTTTAGGGTAGACTGTGTGTGGCTCAGGCTTTATTTGACCCCTAAAGGATTTTATGTGGATATTTTTCTATACACAACCATGGCCAATAATATTGCCATTCCATCCTGAGTTACACCTTAATTTGGTGAGACCAAAACTTCATTCTACCCCTAATGACGAGTATTCCTACCACTTATATACAGGAGCAAACCTGGGCTGTTCTAGCACCTAGCTAATGTAGAACAGAATGCATTTTGCAGGTTTCTTATGTCAAGAGGGGGTATATTTTCTAGAATGCTGAATGGCTGCCGAATGGCCTCCAAATTGCTCTGAAGTTTGTTAAGAAAGGGTTAAGAAATTGAGTGAATCAAGTTTCAGGTCAGTTTGCCCATTTTAATGACCATAAATGGACCCTAATTCACTCAAATTCCTAACCCCAGTCACTAAACTTCAGAGACATTCAGCATTCGGTATTATATGCAAAATGCCCTAGACGTTCCCATGTCATTGGTCACTGTTCCAATGTATGTTATGAATTGTGTATTCAAAAAAACTTCTTTGCCTTATTTGGATAACTGTCCTGTTTAAAGTGCTATTGCCTGTTTCGGAGAAGGTGCAAAATGGCCAACAATCATGGAGCAAAGCTCCAAGTTGGTCACAACCATTATCTCAAAACCAAAAGGTGCAAATGGAATAATAAATTATTCATTAATTCCATTTGGCCCTTTTGGAATAACAGTTATTATTGTTCTGACTATTGCATGAATAATATCATTTGTTAAAAATTTCTATCAATTAATTTGTACTGCAGTGATGAAGGTACAAGTCCAAATTGCTGTTGTCTTCATCCTGTTTATTTCTGCATGGGTGGACTGTACAGGTGTACCGTCCTGTGCCACCATGAGAACCTGGTTTCCAGAAACTAATCCGCTTGCCTTGGCGGATAACCTACCATATGACTTAAGTGTCAGTGGAAGATATCCTGGGCAGTCAGTACCTGCTTATATCCCTAACAGTATTCATACAGGTAGGCTTTAATAGTAGATTTAACAAAGTAACCATTTTAAATATCATTGTACTAGGACACTGGGATTGGGGTTCAGGACCTGCATGTTTGTGATGGCTGATAGCTAGATTGAATTGGAAGAAACACATTTTTAGTTGTTCATATAAATCAAAATTTTCTTCCTAATATGGAATCACTGATGCTGCCCCACTAGTGTTGTGAAAAGTTTGTATACAATGCAAACAAAGCGCTACAAAGAGCAATGATTACAGTTTTACAAAGTAAAATTCGACCAAAATCGGAATACGAAATCATGGCCAGGATTAACTTTAATTCCTGACAAGACAAAGGCGAATTATCATGATAAGTGTCTTATGGGCCTGGCCTAACTAGGTGACGAAAGCTAGCGCATGCTCAAAAAAGTTGCGGATACGTC